ATAAAAACAGTGCAAGATATATAGTACCAAAAGTTCATTTTAATGTATTAACATAAGCACATGGAAAAAATACAAATGCTTCTAATCTATCTACGACAGACAGAAAGCCTCTGAAATATATAGATACTGCTTATAATAAGATATCCGTCTTACAAACAGGATTAACTGAATATTAAGTGCTTCAACTAGTGTGGTTCCATTAAATGGATTAATTGCACCACTTTGACTCATTTGTTAGATTAGTGCCATTTTCTGTGTTTTGTGCTCAGCTGGTCTGAAAGATAATAATAATAATAATAATAATAATTGTAGAATTTATTAATAAAGTGTCTATGATGTGTTAATCATTTCAATCTGGGGTTTATGTTAAAGTTTTTAACATCCTGTGTAGAACCATTTCAATGACTTGCTTATGCACACTTGTAAAAAAAAAAACAATTGCTGTTCATGTAGAAATGGTCACGTTTGGTTATTTTCATCTTCTCCTTTTATAGGAGCAGACAAGCTAATCAATGTATGATTTTTTTTTCTTCACTAAGGAGACACGGAATGTAGTTGCTGACATAGCAATGTTTATTATTAACATTTTTAATTATTTGTAACAGTAGCGTTCCCTGGGGGAGTGATGCTAGTGAACTGTGATGTCACTCTCCTCCTGCAAAAAACCTCCACTAACCATGTTGGTATGCAGCCAGCTACACACTCTGGAAATGGCCTACGTTTGCAATGACCTGTGGCTTGCTTCAGGCAATCTGGATCATGTCCTGTCATACGTTGCATCAGAGTCCAACATGTTTTCATTGCACAGTTGACAATACAGGGAGATGTGTGGCAATCACATGCTTGAAAGTCAAATGATTAAGATTCTGTGTCATGAGGACATGGTATTTTATTTAGGCTCCTGTTGTTGTACAAAGCCATGTTATTCAGCTCATGGTACAATTATCTTTATTAACTGTCTATTCCCCTTTTCTGGAGCATAGTTTATACATAGTCCATCTTTAAAATGGATTTCCTCTCTTCCCCCATTTTTTTGAAACCCCTACTTACCTTATGGTGAGTTCTGCACATTTCGGATACTCATCTACCCAGCAGATTTAGTGTTGTCCAGCTGAGTTCCTCTTCTGTTCTGGCAGAGCTCAGTCCTGCGCCACCATGTTTTGCTGTAACATCATCAAGAGGCTGCTGGCTGTTCTGGGTTCAATAGGAAGAAGGGTCAGCTGCACACCAGAGGATAGATGAATATAGTGTGTATTTATTGATCCGTAGGACAATATCCTATGGATCAATTAATATACACTATATTCATCTATCCTCCAGTGGGCAGCTGACCTTTCTTCCTATTGAACCCAGAACAGCCAGAAGCCTCTTGATGACGTCACAGCAAAACATGGTGGCTGACTCTTCTTCCTATTGCATAATGTACGGTGGAGAGCCAGAGCCTGCACCTGCTGTGGATTGATCTGGATTGTTTGTATGAGTGGTATACCTTTTGTTCTGGGTTCAGCCAGCACACCTCCCAATGACGTCCCTGTAGGCCTGCCCCCTCTATCTTTACTGAATAAAAGGTTTCGCCTCCTGGGATATGTGACGTGCATATCCCAGGAGGCAAAAAGAGGACAGTGCGTGTCATTCTCTTAGGTGAATGACGTGCAACGGGGGGGGGGGGGGGGCTGAACAATTTATTTGAAAAAATAGCTAAATAAGAAAAAAATAGTGCTATCCATGCAGAGGACCGAAGTAAGGGTGGAGAGGCGGGATTATGTTTTAGAGAGTGAAGATCCACTTTAAACACTACAACTTGTCTTCTTGGTTCCAATCATTCATGGCAATATCCTTCAGCAGATTGTTTGCTGCATATACTGTAGGTACACAAACATGCTACCAGATTTGAGTCTCTCAGAGCAGCTTCCTTGAACTTCTGGTTGGGGAGATTGTGTACTCAGTACCAGGTTACAAAGGACAGAACAGCTATCCATCAATTGGCTTGGAGGAGGAGGAAACAGGGAAGTGGCTTACCATGGAATGATCTGTTTATATAAATGCACACATAGGATATGTTCAAATATAGCTCTGGCCAGGAGAACACACACAAGGGTCCATAGGCCCTACAAGAGGAAGGAGCTACCCTGAAACCAGACAGAAGAGCCAGCTCTGAGAAGACCACATAAATCAGGAGGAAAGCAAAACTCTTATATGTCATGAAAGAGCAAACATGGTATTCACCATTAGAAATTGATATCATTTTAAAGCTGCATCTGCACAGGCATTTAGAAGCAGGTCAAATCCCAGCAGCAGGAATCTACACTGTGTGCATCCAGCCATGATCATCTCAGGTAATTGCTGGCTGTGAGAACTGGCTGAAAGTCTATCATTGCAGTGCATGGGCTCCGCAGCAACAGCCTTCTGCTCACAGATGTAGATTCCTGCCGCTGGGATGTGCACTAATGTGTTACTAATTACCTGTGTGAATGCAGCCTAAGGCCCTGCACACACGATGAGAATATTGGACAAATGATCATCTTTTTTTTTTTTTTTCATGCTAGTCTCATATTGAAAGTGAAGAGGTTACTAAAGTTAAGAAAATTCTCGTACGACAGAATAAAAATTCATAAGTGATGTAATGTATTTGTATTGTATTTTCGGACAAAAACTGTACTTACTGGTATCATACGAGAAAAAGTTTTGTGTTTGTCCCTTCAAATAATTTCAGAGATAATTTCATGTGTACTAAGCTGTCATTCTTTCTACCTTCCTTTTTCACCACCTTCACTCTATTCAGCCACCTGGAGGGAAAAAAAGATGGAAGAAAACACTGTTCAGATTCCAGATGGAGAGGTTCTAAGTAACATTATTACATTTGTATTTACTGTTTCATTTTTCTGCAGATCAAATGATGATCTTCATTCAGTATATGATGTCAATTAAATCAACTTAATTTAAAAAGAAAGTTATTTTTCAATATAATTTCTTTCTCATTAAACCCTTATTAACACTTATTTTATCTGCTGCTTTCCTCCCTTACCTATAGTTTTCCTGATTTTTTATTTCTGTTTTATAACATTTACATTTTTGCTTTTTTATTTTATTCTTTTCATGCTTTGCATACAAAATATCATTTTTGCAAGACAACATCACCAAAAGAAAGTGTTATTTGTCCTAAAAAAATGTAAATGTGTTACTTTGCAATCTTAGGAAATGACAGTTATTGTTGGATGAATAGACCCATAACAAAAATGTAAAAACTGTTCCGGTCCATAGTGGATGTACAGGTATGAGTGCTGAATGTGTTAAAGAAAGAAGAGATATTAAAACCTGTATAGGAGTGTACAAATTCTAACCAATTAACACCCTTCTGTGCTTTAGTGTGGTACCAATGCACTGTCACACTGCAGTGCCCCACAATGCGGATACATTACTTTGCAGTGAGGTGCAATAAATAAAAGGGTCAGATGTGATTTTCTGTGCCTCTGCTAGGCCAATAAAAATGAATAGAATGCTTCAATGCTGTGCACCTAAAAGCACATAAAAGTGTTGAAGATGGTGCATTAACACAATGCATAATCTGAAGGGGATATAGGGTATTTTATATATATATATATATATATATATATATATATATATATATATATATATAGTATACAGCAAATCTTTATATTTACATATTCACAAACCTAAAAGAAAAAAAAAAAAAAATATATATATATATATATATATATATATATATATTTTTTTTTTTTTTAATTTTCAATGTTTTCATAACAAAAGGCACTTCAAATTTTTAGCTGTATCAGTGAGGGTGTTTTGCAGAAAACACTGAGTATTCATCAATGGAAATGTGTTCTAGTACTAGAGCTATTGTATGTGAATGGTCAGGAATGATCTGAACTCGGAGTCCCTGCAGATCCTGCATGTCAGCTGAGCCTCATCAATCATGTTGATTTGCACTTGACTCAGAAAGCAACCAATCGATACTTACTTGGTGACAAACTATGCTTTGAGAATTACTTGTACAATCTTTTTGACTGATTTATTTTACAAACCAATGTTCTGACACATCAAGCAATGAAAAGCCAGGAAAGAGCATAACACCTGAGAGTTTTATTATTGCTGTTAAAATTTTTTTTTTTTAATTCACATGCTCCTTTTTCTTCCTCTATAGTTAATTTAACATTAAAAAGCTCATTAACTCAGCCACACAAGCAGCTGTTACATCTAGTGAGGTCAAGCCATGCGTAATCACAAGCGATTTGATTCATGAGGTCCTCAGTGGTCCTAACTGATGTAACAATGCTCTAGTGTACAAATATCAATGCTGCAATGAGAGGTCATGTACTAAGAGGCCAAGCAGAAGCCAATTTAGGAAAAAAAGAGAAAAATTTAAAGAAAAACATCAAGTAATATGTTATCTCTTCTATTTTATTTTCAGTCCCATTTCCCCCAACAAAAGATACTGTACTTCTATTTTATAAACTGAGAGAGACACTCCAGGCTATAAAAAGAAGTTATGAACAACACTGCCTACGTGTGTAGTCTTTGCATGAACTACACAACCAGTCTTTCATAAAGTGCAACTGTATCAAGCCATACTTTATCTAACGGCAACCTTACACAGATCTTTAGATTAATTTAAAGCCATTAGTGTTCAAGAGCATGCACCTTCATATTTCCATGACCAGCTTGGAGCTTTGTATTCTCCTAGCATTCAACAAGTCAACCAGGTGCAACTGCAATAATAACTCAAATTATGTTCTCACTGAATAATCAATATTTTTTTAATTTAAATAGTAATGCTCCCCTTTACCCCTTTTCCTCCATACCTGCTTTCCTCTAAAGCAGCGGTTCTCAACCTGGGGGTCGCGACCCCTTTGGGGGTCGAACGACCATTTCCCAGGGGTCGCCTAAGACCATCGGAAAACACATATTTCCGATGGTCTTAGGAACCGAGACACCGCTGCTCTGTCTCGCGATCTGTGGGCGGGATGATATGCTGCCCCTGTAACCTGGCCACACCTCCGGGATCACTCAACAGCTCCGCCTCCTCGCCGCTGATTGGCCACCGGAACTGTAGCTCAGGAGAGGCACACAGGCGGCCAATCACCGGCGAGGAGGTGGAGCTTGGAGAGGAGGAGCCGAGCGGCAGAGCGCGCAGATCGAAGAAGATCGAGGGAGCTGCAGGACCGAGTGAAGAGGAGAGAGGCCAGAGAAGGAAGACAGCTGACAGGTAAGTGTAAAATTTTGCTTCTGCAGGCTGTAGATGGGAGAGGGAGAGAGCAAGCCCAGGCTGGAGCAGGGGTCAGCAAGGTAAGTATCATTGGTGTCAGTGAGAGGAATAGTGCCCCATCATTTGTGTCACTAATACCAACGATGGGGCACTATTCCTCCCCCCACTGACACCAACGATGGGGCACTATTCCTCCCCCCACTGACACCAACGATGGGGCACTATTCCTCCCCCCACTGACACCAATGATAGGCACTATTCCTCCCCCCACTGACACCAACGATGGGGCACTATTCCTCCCACTGACACCAACGATGGGGCACTATTCCTCCCACTGACACCAACGATGGGGCACTATTCCTCCCCCCACTGACACCAATGATAGGCACTATTCCTCCCCCCACTGACACCAACAATGGGGCACTATTCCTCCCACTGACACCAACGATGGGGCACTATTCCTCCCACTGACACCAACGATGGGGCACTATTCCTCCCACTGACACCAATGATGGGGCACTATTCCTCCCCCCACTGACACCAACGATGGGGCACTATTCCTCCCCCCACTGACACCAACGATGGGGCACTATTCCTCCCCCCACTGACACCAACGATGGGGCACTATTCCTCCCCCCACTGACACCAACGATGGGGCACTATTCCTCCCCCCACTGACACCAACGATGGGGCACTATTCCTCCCCCCACTGACACCAACGATGGGGCACTATTTCCCCCCCACTGACACCAACGATGGGGCACTATTCCTCCCCCCACTGACACCAATGATAGGCACTATTCCTCCCCCCACTGACACCAATGATAGGCACTATTCCTCCCCCCACTGACACCAATGATAGGCACTATTCCTCCCCCCACTGACACCAACGATGGGGCACTATTCCTCCCCCTGACACCAATGATGGGGCACTATTCCTCCCCCTGATACCAATGATGGGGCACTATTCCTCCCACTGACACCAATGATGGGGCACTATTCCTCCCACTGATACCAATGATGGGGCTATTCCTCCACTGACACCAATGATGGGGCACTATTCCTCCCACTGACACCAATGATGGGGCACTATTCCTCCCACTGACACCAATGATGGGGCACTATTCCTCCCACTGACACCAATGATGGGACACTATTCCTCCCACTGACACCAATGATGGGACACTATTCCTCCCACTGACACCAATGATGGGGCACTATTCCTCCCACTGACACCAATGATGGGACACTATTCCTCCCACTGACACCAATGATGGAGCACTATTCCCCCCACTGACACCAATGATGGGGCATTATTCCTCCCACTGATACCAATGATGGGGCACTATTCCTTCCACTGACACCAATGATGGGGCACTATTCCTCCCACTGATACCAATGATGGGGCACTATTCCTCCCACTGACACCAATGATGGGGCACTATTCCTCCCACTGATACCAACGATGGGACACTATTCCTCCCACTAACATCAGTGATGGGGCATTATTCCTCCCACTGATACCAATGATGGGGCACTATTCCTCCCACTGATACCAATGATGGGGCACTATTCCTCCCACTGATACCAACGATGGGACACTATTCCTCCCACTAATGCCAATGATGGGGCACTATTCCTCCCACTGACACCAATGATGGGGCACTATTCCTCCCACTGACACCAATGATGGGGCACTATTCCTCCCACTGATACCAATGATGGGGCACTATTCCTCCCACTGATACCAATGATGGGGCACTATTCCTTCCACTGATACCAATGATGGGGCACTATTCCTCCCACTGATACCAATGATGGGGCACTATTCCTCCCACTGATACCAATGATGGGGCACTATTCCTCCCACTGACACCAATGATGGGGCACTATTCCTCCCACTGACACTAATGATGGGGCACTATTCCTCCCACTGACACCAATGATGGGACACTATTCCTCCCACTGACACCAATGATGGGGCACTATTCCTCCCACTGACACCAATGATGGGGCACTATTCCTCCCACTGACACCAATGATGGGGCACTATTCCTCCCACTGACACCAATGATGGGGCACTATTCCTCCCACTGACACTAATGATGGGGCACTATTCCTCCCACTGACACCAATGATGGGACACTATTCCTCCCACTGACACCAATGATGGGGCACTATTCCTCCCACTGACACCAATGATGGGGCACTATTCCTCCCACTGACACCAATGATGGGGCACTATTCCTCCCACTGACACCAATGATGGGGCACTATTCCTCCCACTGACACTAATGATGGGGCACTATTCCTCCCACTGACACCAATGATGGGGCACTATTCCTCCCACTGACACCAATGATGGGGCACTATTCCTCCCACTGACACCAATGATGGGGCACTATTCCTCCCACTGACACCAATGATGGGGCACTATTCCTCCCACTGACACCAATGATGGGGCACTATTCCTCCCACTGACACCAATGATGGGGCACTATTCCTCCCACTGACACCAATGATGGGGCACTATTCCTCCCACTGATACCAATGATGGGGCGCTAGTCTTCCTACTGCAAAATTACAGTTCTGAAGTAGCAACGAAAATAATTTTATGGTTGGGGGTCACCACAACATGAGGAACTGTATTAAGGGGTCGCGGCGTTAGAAAGGTTGAGAACCACTGCTCTAAAGGCTGAAAGCTCCATTTTCTAAGCCTCCAACCGATTCTCCTGGAGTCTCAACCCTGTCTCTGGACAAGTAACTGAATCTGATAAAGTCCTTTGATTATATGTACAGCCAAAAGGTTTTTTAATGAATTATTATTTTTTTTTTAGCTTTGATAGAGTGGGGAAGGGTTAAATCACCAATCAAATTTTTATTCCTGTCCAATGACAATTATTATTACAGGTGCTTATATAGCATCATCAATTTATGCAGTGCTTTACATATATATATATATATATATATATAGTACATTTACATCAGTCCCTAACCCTCGAGGAACATACAATCTCCAAGGTCTTTAGTTCACATTCATACATACGCACACTAGGGCCAATTTAGACAGGATCCAAATACCCTACCACCATGTCTTTGGAGTGTGAGAGGAAACCCATGCAGGCACATGGAGAAGATGCAAACTCCAGGCAGGTAGTGCCATGGTTAGGATTTGAACCAACGACCCTAGTACTGCCAGGTGGAAGTGCTAAAAATGTAGCCACTGTACCGCACTCAGACACCACAGTTGTCACCAGAAAGATAGGTGAGGGGAAAACTGCCAATAAAGACAAATTACTAAAGTGGCAATTCAATTCAAAGTGCTCTCTGACGTATGTTGGATCATGTGAATTTAATAGGATAAAGCTTACAATTAATTGCATAAAGTGCCATTTTAAAATACGTTTAGCAATTCAGTGAATGAGTATGGATTAGACATTAAATTTGATTTGTTTTCTCTTTCTTTAATGCTGTTTAGGACAGTAAGTAAGTGATAAGGTTTATGAACTGAGTAAGTGATATGGGATAGAACAGGGGTAACAGTAAAGAATATCAATCAACACTGCATTTAGACCAAGCTGGGCCGAATTGCAATATTTGGTATACTTTGGTCTTCCTTTGCTCCAGTACATAGTGGTACAACAACAGAACATAATTCAAATACAGAGCTACTATTTTATTCTCTCACAAAATGTCACTCACCTGAATTCATCCTCCTAATAGTGAGAACCCACATCAGTTCTGTGAAATAACGTGTCTAGTTTGTAAGAGGATGTTAAACTCCAGGGCTGTAGAGGGTAAGTGAAAGGTGAGTAGCTTAATCTTCAGTGGAGTAGAGGGGCAGTGGGGCTATGACCTAATCTTTGCATCAGAGTATAAAAGTAGGCTTTATGTGTCATTGGGTTATATCATCAATTGAGAGATTTCCACCACAAAAGACTTTATTTTCTGCCATTAAATGTACTCTGCCTGATGACCAGCATCATTCAAGCAGTCACAATTGAGAAGTAGACCCTGCTTCACATTGCAGTTGCTTTCCCTGAGAGTGGAGTCTAAAATGTAGTTGTTGTGCCACCAGATCAGTTTGGAGTGACCCTCAGGTCACTTAAAAGGTACTTAGAGATGTGGGGGAGGGGAGGTTCTGGGTAACAAGGAACTGGAACATGAGAGAGGAATAAAGCATTCTGCAGTTGGAAGCAAATGGGATTCTGGAGGTTGCTGTTGAGGGGCACAAAGTGTGCTATTTTATAGAAACTGTCATCCACAAAGCAAATGACTATGCAGCCGTAGGAGGGTGAAAGATGCCTGATGAAGTTCATGGAGAGATGTTCCCAGGGTTATTTTGGAACTTGAAGAGGATTTAAAGGACCTGCTAGTGCATGAGAATGGATTTTGATCTGGGCACAGGTAGTACATGTCTTTAACATATCTTTTAACTTCTAATGACCCCCTGATTACTTGCCAGTTTGAAACTGTGAGCCCAATGGAATTTTGGCTCTAAGATTTGTTTTTTTTTTTCCTAGAAAATTTTTTTATTTTTTTTATTTTTGTGACAGAAATCTAATTGACTCCAGTTTAGAGACATTCTGTCATGGTGGTCTGTGGAGCAAGGGAGGACATCTGTTCTGGTATTACTGGATCCAGGTTTGTATGTAATGAAAAAATTAAAACAATAAAGGATAATGGACCAATGGCCTTGTCTTGGCTTGAGCTATTGAGCAGAATAGAGAAAGTGTAGATTTTTGTGATCTATAAACATGATCAGATGGTGTGGAGAATCCTCAAGAATAGCACCATCTCTTCAGGTCTATCTTAACAGCTAACAAATCTTGATTCCCCAATGCCACAATTCTTTTCTACCAGTGTATATTTTTAGGCCTCATTCAC